ATTTTCAGTCAGCTAAAAAATGGCATTTTTTGATTTAAGTTTGCAAAGCTACAGTATCTTTATATTTTGATTTTTCAAATTCCCTACAGTAATCCTTTCTCAGTTTTTGATAATAATTTTTACAACAGTAATCCAAAAATGAAGCTCTGGTTTTGTTTAGTAAGGTCCTTTGAAATTTTTATTTTCAAAATCCTTTTGCATTTATACAGTCTTTTCCGATAACTTTTTTTTTTGAAAAATATCATTCTATAACTTTTTTGTATATTAACTTTCTCAATACATTTTTTTACTGCAGCTTTACTTTGTTATTTTTGGGACATTTCATTACATTGATTCATTTTTGCAAAAATAAAATAAAATTGAAGTTTTTCTACAGTAATCTTCCATCAAATTTTAGACAAAAAATCGGAAAAATCGAGAAAGAATCGCCAAAAATAGCTGAAAAACCAAAAAAGGTCTAAAAATTTTGCTGCAAATCGCTAAAAAATCGATAATTTTCGAATTTTTCAGTTTTGGCGGAAATTCAAAAAGCGGTTTTTCGAAATTTTGTGAATTTTTTATTGAATTTTTTCGATATTTTTTTGAGAATCTACATGATTTTCTACACATTTTGATGCAAAAAAAATGATATTTTGGCTAGTATTTTTCGTATTAAATTTATATTTTAATTATTTTTTCATTACAGTTTATTAAAAATCTTTTTATCAATTTTTGGTCCTTTTTTTATTTTTTCAACATTCAGAATATTCTAGAATTAATTTTCACATTTAAAACTTTGATTTTTAACTCAAAAACCACAAATTTCCCTGTTTGGTCTCCACTTTTTGGTCTTCAAAACAAGTGGAGAAGAAAATCAAGAAAACCTCAACTCCATGCGGCAAGCTTGCGAAACGCGTGCGCGGAGGTTGCAAGGGGGCGGAGCCTCATTTTTGTCATCGTTGCGCTCGCCGGTTTGAACCGCTTTCAGTCGATTTTCAGCATTTTTTTGCGTTTCTTTCTCATTTTTTGAAGATTTCATTGAAAAAAATAGCGATTTTTCATGCAGGAAATGTGCTAAATGAGGGGAAAATGTTGTAATTCGAGGGTTTTGAGGCGATTTTCAATTTTTTCCAAAAATTTTGAACTTTGCTATTTTTTCCAGTCCATTCGATGCTGCAGGCTTATTTTTAATGCAGAAAACATGATAAAACGAGAGTGAATTCCTAAAAATCTAGGTTTTCAGTTATGATGACTTTTCGGAGCTTCTGACTTTTTCCCCTATTTTTTTCGGTTTTCATAGTTTTTTTTCTGATTTTTAGTGCATTTTGTTCGAAAAATAGCCAATTTTTATGCTGAAAATATGCTTAATGAAAGGAAGAATGCCGTAAATTCAGGTTTTTGAGTTAATTTTCGAAAATTTCATTTTTGGCTTAATTTTCGCTTAATTCCAGCCGATTTTCAGCATTTTTAAGCATTTTTTCTGATATTAGTGGATTTGATAAGAAAATAGCGATTTTCATGCAGGAAATATGCTAAATGAAGGAAAAAATGTCGTAATTCTAGGATTTTGAGGCGATTTTCGAATTTTTTCTCAATTTTAGAATTTCGCTTTTTTTCCACTTGGTTTCGATGCTACATGCTTATTTTTTGTGCAAAAAATGCCTAGAATGAAACAGAATATCTCAAAATCGCTATTTTTCTCATATTTTCGAATCTCTTCGGATTTTCCAGACTTGGATTTTCGTACTCTCCAGCTTTTACCCTTTTCCAAACAAAATCATTTTTCAGCGATGTCATCGCGGGGCGTTCGAGCAGCGGGTACCGACGGCAACGACTTCCAGAATCGCCAACGGATCGCGCAGCACTATCAGGAGAGTGCTCAGTACAAGTCCGTCTTGAAATGGTTCTTCGTGCCGCACTTCTTGATTCTGGTGTTCATGTGGCTCAAGGTCGGAAGCGAATTCCTGCGATACAATTTCGGATGGAAAAATGCGTTCTTCGAGCGACTGGACATGCCAGCAGCCTATCCATGGGAATACGTCTGGTGTCTCTCCTTCATCCCCATCGTACTGGCGCTCTCTTCGTTCCAGAGGAATAAGGTAATTGTTTAAAAGTTTCTCTTTTCCTTTATAATGTCAATTTTCCAGTTGAAAGTCCTTCACTACGCCTACTATGCTGAGTTCATCTGTGGAATCTTCCCATGTATGATTGGCCTCGGAGGACAACTGCCGGAGCTTCTGGAGTATGCCAACGATATGGAGGGAAGCAACACGCCGACTTTCAAAGGAATCTTCCCAATGGTCATCATCTGGTACATCTTCTTCGCCGTCGCTCTTCAAATCCACGGATTCTCGATGTATTTCATGCACCACCTTGCCGCAGCATGGGCACCAGTCAAACGAGATTAATCTTATATTTGTTGTGATTTCTATTCCATTTTCCTTCTTTCTTTTCTTGTTGAATTGTATCTTTTTGTTGATAGTATTATTATTCTAATTCGCTTGCTTTCTCTCTAGTCCTTATTGCCATCTAATAATCCCATATCTTTATTGAATTCTTATATTTTAAACCTTTCTTTTTTTTCTCTATTTCTACCGGTTACTATACCGTAAATATCTATCGATTCCCGTTTCAATTTCAGCTAATTTCCGCTATTTTTTTTCAGCCAAATCTATAATGTGGGGCGAGACATTCGACGATTTCGAGAATGAAGAGCAAGAGCTGGCGGTGGCCAAGCAGAATCTGATGAGCGAGCCGGCGCGTGCCGATTTTACCTTCTCGAAGCTTCCATTGGGAATTCAGGTACAAACTTCATGATTTCTAAGAATTTATTTTAATCATTTCCAGCCAGTGGACTTCATGAAGACGCATTTCGCTGAGACCGCCGGAAAATCCATGCAGTTCCGTAAAGGAACCACCACTCTCGCTTTCGTCTACGAGCCAGCTACACCAAACGATAAGGGAGGAATCATCGTTGCCGTCGATTCGCGTGCTTCCAGTGGAGAGTACATCTCTTCCAAGTCCGTCATGAAGATCCTCGACATTGGAGACCGCATGGTTGCCACAATGGCCGGAGGAGCCGCCGATTGTCAATTCTGGACCAGAATCGTCGCCAAATACTGCACCTTGTACGAGCTGCGCGAGAAGAACTCGATCACTGTGAGCGCCGCCAGCAAGTACTTCGCCAATGTGCTGTACGGATACAGAGGACAAGGCTTATCTGTTGGATCGATGGTTGCTGGATACGATAAGAAGGGACCACAAATCTTCAAAGTCGACTCTGAAGGCGATCGCTGTCAGTTGAAAGTGTGCTCCGTCGGATCAGGATCGCTCAATGCCTACGGAATCCTAGACAATCACTATAAGCCAAAGATGACGGATGAGGAGGCTAGAAAGCTTGGACTTCGTGCTATCATGCACGCCACCTACCGTGATTCTGGATCCGGTGGAGTTTGCAATTGTGAGTTTTTGCAGTCTTGAAATTCGACCGAAAACCTTGTTCTTTTTTCCAGTGTGCCACATCACACCAACCGAAAAGATCCGCCTGCCACCAATGGACGTCAGCAAGCTGTGGTATGAATTCGCCGATGAGCTTGGCAAGGACATTGTCTACAACCCAGTTGAATAACTCTGTGGTTTTTCAACTTTATATTCACATGTATTTGATCCCAGTTATTCCAATCACCACTTCCCCATCTTTTTTATGATTTGTGGAATTAATTTATTCTTCTCTCGAAATGAGCCTTATTTTTCTTATTTCGATCCAATTTACAGTGAAATGTGTCGACTTGTCGTCCCTGCATTACCATTCCTCCATGCAGGACCGATGCGTGTTCCAGCTGAAAAATCATCAATTTTTCACGAAAATTCCAAGAAAAAGAGCTCACAAGACATGGACGGTGCCACTGAAGCTCTCTCAATCAGCTCGATTTGCTGCTCTCTTCGCTTCGGAAGCATGGGACGTCGATTGTTGGCTCCGCCCACTTTGTTATAAATTATTACGCTGGATCGATCGAATTGTGGCTCTTTTTGCATATTTGCCATGAAGAGGCATATAGCGGTTAGAAGTATTCCTAAGAATATTCCAACGCAGAGGAGAAGGCTAACAAGAAGAACGGGGAAATCGGATGGACGGAATCCGGTGGCTGCTGGCGTCGTCGCTGTTGGCTGTTTTTTTGGAGGCGGTGGAGGCGGTTGGAATGCGACTGTCGCGTACTTCTCATTGGGACCAACCGCTTTCCAGTAGAACTCTTTGTTGTTGATTTTTTCCTGAAAGGGACTTTTTTTTGGAAAAATCGAAATTTTCTAAAAAAAATTAAAATTTCAAAAAATCGGAATTTCTAAAATTTTCGAAAAATTGGAAATTCTGAAAATTCCAAAAAACCAAAAATTGAAAATCTCAAAAAATCTAAATTTCTGAAAATTTAAAAAGTATTCAAAAATCGAAACTTTCAAAAAAGCTAAAAAATCAAAAGGCTTAAAATTGCCAAATAGTTGAAAATTTTGAAAATATTTTTTAAAAATCAAAAAATTGAAAATTTAACAAAAATTTTAATTTCTGAAATTTTCAAAAAATCTGAAATTTTCAGAAAATCAAAATTTCCAAAAATTCAAAAAATCTGAAATTCCAAAAATTAAATTTTTTTAAATTCAAAAATTTCAGAAAAATTCAAAAAACCAAAAAATCCCAAAAAAAATTCAGGTGATTTTTCAAAGTTTCATATTTTCAGAAAATTTCAAGCTCTTCTAAAAACCAAAATTCTCACTTTCAGCCTTGGATCCGCATCCTTTCCCATACTGGAAATAATTTCAGCCGCCAGCTTCGGTGTCATCTCTTTCCCACCTCGAATCTCATATATACTGTCCTGATTTCGAGGATCACTGAACGTCGTGTTCTCCGCAGTCTCTCCTTCTGGCTTTTGTGATAACCTCACTCGAAAAACATGCACAGAACAGTCTGAAAAAAGAAAAAAAAACTAACATTCAGGGCTGGGGGTCGAACCAAAATGGCTCTGAACGACGCTGGGCGCCGCACCCAGCTGCGCTACGAGCGTCACTTTGGAAGTGAGAGGCAAATGTAAACCACTTACCATGCGGCGGCTGACACTGAGGAGCTGCAAGTGGTAGTGGAGGAAAAAAGAAGAATAGTAAGAGGAATAGTAGGAAAATCATTTTTTTTAGAAAGAAAAATTCAAATTTTGGCAAAATTCAAAGGGATTTTTCACCGCATATTTTGTTCGGAAAAGCTTTAAGAACAAAAAAAATAATGAGAATAAGAATAAGAAGAAGAAAAAGACACTTCTGATTTCGCAAAGGGAGGTGACATTGATAAGGAAATCATCGATGAAAAATGGAAATAGTGGAGGAATTGGAGAGACGCAGAGACAGAGAGAAAGAGAAAAATAGAAATGAGTATGTGTGTGTGTGTGTTGATGAATAGAAAACTGTAGAAAAAGAATAGAAGACATGTGTCTGAGGAAGACAAATTATGTTGTTTTTAGAGGTCGTGTCTCTATAAATATGTGTAGACTATGTATCAACTGGGGGACTAGAAAAATCGAAAACTAGGCCATCAACATTGGAAAAAAGATTGTTGATTTCTCTTCTAGAAATTGAGATAATTAGGTTCCAAGAGTGGCATTCTATTGGAGGGAAAAAATATAAAGTTCAAACTGTTCCAATTCGTTTGAAAGTTTCAATATATACTAAACAAGACTAGAGCTTCATTTTTGTAGTTGACACTTTTTTCTGAAAATCAAGTTCTAGAGAGATATGTCGCGCAGAAGGGCGGTGGCGCCTCATGCCGACTCTTGGACTGTTGTCCGCTTGCTGCCACGTGGCATATCTCTGTAGGACTCAATTTTCAGAAAAAGTTGTCAACTACAAAAATGTAGTCCATACCTTGTTTAGTGTAATATGAAAATTGAAATCTGGCATCTCAAAAGTTGCTAATTTACAGAAGTCTTCTGGATGAACACTTTTTTTGAATATTTCTAAAAATCACCAACTTTTGCCTTCCCAAAATTTTCCGAAATTTTTAGTGTATACTAAACAAGACTGGAGCTTCATTTTTGTAGTTAGCACTTTTTTATGAAAATCAAGTCCTGAAGATATATGTCGCGCAGAAGGGCGGTGGCGCCTCATGCCGACTTGAGCATCACAAGATGCACCTGCTCCCACATGGCATATCTCTGCAGGACTCAATTTTCAGAAAAAGTTATCAACTACAAAAATGAAGCCCATACCTTGTTTAGTATAATTTGAAAATCTGAAAGAAATGTGATAAGATCTAAGCCATTTCTCACACGCTCGATTAGGTCTTACTAGATAGAGTTTTACTTTAAAGGTGGGGGGACATGAAAAAAATAATGTTCTCGAAATTCCGTTCAAAGATGCCCCTCGAGGAGTTGAACTTGTGAGGGCGATGATAGAGGGTGCGGCGCCGCTACCGACTGAGCCACGCGGGCAAAGAGAAAGCGCACGCCCGATTGCATACATAAAGGCGAGGACGACAGCTGTACGCAGAGTGACATTAAGCGTTGTACACCGTGACGGTAGAATGCATACTCTAGCTACAAAAAAACTACGAAAAATCTCCTGTCCCCCCACCTTTAAATCAAGAACAAAATGTTTTCAAACGCTATAGTAGCTTATAACATTTAACATCCTTCTTCTGGAAGCAAGTTGAATATGATTGAAGAATGACAGTCCAATTTCTGAACATGACAACGAAAACGGAAGCCTTTTTTAATCAATTATCAGTATTTATTCATTCAAACTCAAACAAAACTTCAAGAATTCGAAAAAAAGATACGATTTCAATGTGAACACGATAGGCGAGTGTTAGTCTCGAGAGACAAACAAGAAAAAAGAGAGTTACAGAAAAAGGAAGATTATGAGAATCTAGTATGCCATACAAACATGAAGAAGACACCATCATGCAATTTCACATAGGCAGCAACCAATCCATCGGATTCTCTCACTATATCGAATGCATCCGTACAGTCCAGATAGTCATATACAGGGTCCACGATCCAAGGGTACATCGAAAAAGGCTACATCGAGGGTA